GCATAAACAATTCACTCTAATTTCGACTGTTTAGTTTCACGGCGGGACTATGCGACATCCAGTCTTGCAGCATCACTTTGAAGGTGAAAGCACCCACCTAATGTGATCATAGCACTTGTTAGTCTACCCAGTGCGCTTTGTGCATCCCCCATACGTTCGAACAAACAGAGGATATCTTCGGCGTACTCTAAATCGGATAACGTTTCTTTAGGTGCTCGCTTGCACATGTGTAAATATGTAGCGAAATGATGATGAATATATTGTGTGCATATCCGTCTTTGTGACTTCTTTATCCACAATATCCTTGCTCAACCTGAGTTCATCTTCACGCAGGTTCTTTTTCAAGTTTCAGCTTCTGACTTTTGACTCAATTCCGCGTCTGTTCCGCCGTTTTCCACACTAGACTATTCCTTTATTGCATCAGGCACTGATGACCTTGGGCTTCAACTGCGTGTCAAGTTACAGGAAAATCTGTTGTCCTAGGCAATTTTCTACATGCGTAATGGCGATATAAATATAATTGTGTGATTAAGGGAGGAGGTGCTAGAACCAGGAATGTTGCTGTTAAAAAAGCTTTACTAATGGGCTGATGCAATTGGACAGCATTTTACTCACTACGACATCTACACCTCCTGTTCTGGAGTGGAATACACTCTGTTGAAAGACATTTTGAATGAAGTCAAAAAACTCCCAGCAGAGCAGTTGGAGACAGTGACTACTAACGGAGACCGATCAAAATATGCTTGTTGTTTCCTAATGTTTTCTGATTATCGAATTGTGATTAATCTAACGCAGCTTGTTTGCAATTAACCCGTAAGGAAAACTACATTTGTCCAATGTTGGTGACCAATAATTATACTGCTCTGTCTCTCCGTTACAGGTAACATTTTTACTTTGGATCTACGGGCGTCAAGCAAAGCAGCTCAAGGAATTATTCCAAATCGTCGCATTGTTCATTTTGCTTGTAAAATCCCTCAATGTATCTGATTTTACCCGCTGCCATACTAGTCTGCCCCCTGAGTTGTATAACTTTTATCTAAAAGAAATCTCCGAGCCACAGTACCATGCCCGGCGGTCCGCTTGTTCTAGCTCGTGTTCCATTTTTCGATTTCTCCTCGCCTCCCTCGTTACCTTCTAACTGGTCCGATTTGACTCCGGCTGATCTTAATTGTACGTACGGTATTCGGTGGATTTATGATTTTATGGGTCAGTGTGTCATGGACAATCGAGGCATAGCAGCCATGGTTTGTGGATTTATTTGTCTTTTCACCTGGATATTGAACGGAGTTCCTCAAATGATTGAGAACTTTCGATCTGGAATACCCGATAAAGCTCTGTCACCTTTGTTGCTCCTGTTTTGGACTCTAGGCGATATTCTCAATTTTACTGGCTGTGTTCTGGCTCATCAGCTGATCTTGCAGGTAAGTAGTTCGGTTCTCTATCGTACTCCATTTAAAGTGCTCGACCTAGGTGTTTCATTCACACACGATTTGTACATCACGTGTCTCTGTATGTTTGTGCTTGTACTTTTACTCACTGCTAAAGCCAATCACGTGATATCGAGGGTGTGCGTGCTGATATTCGCAGTTCATAATCTTTATCTTGAAATATGTACATTGCCATGGATGCTTTTAGATCAGAAATTGCGCTGAGGCCTAAAATTAGGGGAGAATCTGAGGAAACACTTTGTCTCAATTTCCCGTAGGGAGTTGATGAGGTAAAGTATTGTAGATCTTGTTCCGTGGTTTCGTGAAAGTTCAGTTTGCGAATTTTTCGATCTGATTGTAGTATGGCGTATTATGATCTATTCTCTCCCGTCGAAGGAAGACCGATTACTCCTTTCATTCAACGGAGGTGCGGTAATTAGAAATTGGATGAAGCACATCAAACGCAATTATTTGAACTGAATTCGGCAAATGATAGCAATCTTTTCTCGGAATGAAATTAAAAAGAGCCATATATATATATATTTCAAGAGAGAATGGAGGCGTACACGCTATCGAAGTTCCTTCTTTTGTATGTGTTGTTTGTTTCTTACCTCTGAGGCACGCTTTGATAAAACTCCTGGTATATGCGTTTGATAGGAACAGTTGAAAGAGTCGACTTCTTTCTCTTGTCCTTAAATCCGGTGAGCTACAGTGTGTGTTTGCTCGGCGGAATAGAGTTCGCACACAACGTTTTAGGTGGCACAAAGGGTGATTGCTGTTNNNTTCCTCTCGTGTAAAGTTGATACTGTGCACCTGCTGATCTACGGTTATATATATATATATTATGGATTTTATTCTCCGATTGTGCACTATGCTTGTCATGCTATAAAATACTGAACCTCGCAGCTCATCAGGTGCGTAATACAAACGATAACGTGTTACTTGAAACCATTGATCTGGTAAATACGTTTGGTGCCAGACCAGAGTCGGGATATCCCAGCAACCATTTGATGGTACTTCAATACAAGCAACGCAAGATTTCTTCATTATCCAGAGTAAATTGTCAGTCAAAGCCGAGCTGTAGCGAAATCTATCCCCTTACGACTTGTGCTATGGAATTGGGGTATCTTCCGTGAATACATCGTTCTATCAAGTACGAGTCGTTTAGCACTCACATCGTTTTTCTACTCAGAAGTATTCGCACTGTTTTTAGTACATGGATTCTCGAATTGAGTTTGTCCTTACTGTTTTTTTTATTTCAAGGTTGTTGTGGCGGTGTATTCCATTGCCAGTGATCTTGTACTCGTATCCCAGTTTATCTACTACAAGGCACGACGTAGAAAAATCATGTTGGGTAAGTTCGCTGCCATATAGACATCGTGATCCTTTCCCACTCTACCCTTATCACGATACTGTTTGTCCATTTTCAAAATTACGGGCGTTTGACTATCCATCATGTGGACAACTTTGCGTCTCAGGAGTTTCATGTTCCAGGCGCGCGAGAAAGAGGGTTGATCTCATAGGCACTCCACATCCGAGAACCATGCAGTATTTGTAGTAGGTCCGGGTCAGTACCACCGCCTAGCTATCGGGGCCCTATGTGGTTCGCCACTCCAAGTTCCAGGATTAGGTTACCGGTTACTCTCTCATCGCAACATGAACACTACAATAAACGGGAACAATTCTCAATACTCTTAATCGACAATCGCACTCACTAACATCCGCGGCTTGAACCATAATGGTGATTCTGTACATCAGCTTCTTCAGTCCACTTTCCCTCTTGCTCTATTTTTATCCGAAACACAATTTTCCGCTTCTACAAACACCACGCATCTTCAGTTTCCCAATCATTCCCTTCACACTTCGTTCATTCCCAAAGCTGGTGTTTGTGCTTTCATCCATCATTCAGTTGTTTCTACACCGTTCTCCCAGATAAATCTCACCAAACGCAAGTTCCAGACTCTGTGACTTAAACTTCGGTTCCCTTCTTTCAATCACTGCTTCTGCACGATGTACCGTTCCCCAAATAGTAATAACCCTTCACTCTTTGATGTTTTATCGACAAACATAGATAGCATTGTTGAAACAGACCCCAACGCTTAGTTCACAATTGTGGATGATTATAATGTCCTTAACAGGGATTGACTGTTACACTCTTCAGGGACATCGCCCCTTGGACGTGAAGCAGAATCATTTGCCCTATTGAACAGCCTCCACCAACTGGTTGATTTCCCGACCCGTATCCCTGACCGTGCTGGCGACTACACTCATACCCTCGATCTTGTCCTCACAGTTATTTTCAAATGTTGCTGCAATTCCTCCCCTAGACTCATCAGACTATTGTCTTATTTCACTCTCTATCCAAATTATTTGTTCTAATGTGCCTCCCAATTATAGACGTACATGCTGGTTCCGCTGATTGGAGCAGCTTTCGTAACTTTCTAGCTTCCTACCCCTGGAACGAATGTTGCTTTTCCGCCGATGTCTCTATATCCCCTTCGACTTTCTCCAAAGTTCTTTTGCAATTTATACACCTATTTATTCCCCATTTCACCAAACCCGGCAAACCTCTTTCTCCAGAGTGGTTCAGCCACGCCTGTTGTCGCGTTGTTCACAAAGAGAAATCAGCGTTTCGCCGCTGGCGTCGGTCACCCTCCCTCAGCTCCCACCGATGGTTCTTGTTAGCACGTAACAAATGTACAACCATCATACAGAAGGCTTTGTTGAGCGCAAAACAACACAATTGGTGACCGCTCTTTCTAGAAGCCGGACATTCTGGTCACTCCCTCATGCAGTGTCCCGTAACTTCTGTTTCACTAACCTCCCACCCCTTGTTAAACCATCTGGTGACTTAGTATCCGACCCGTTGGAAAAAGCAGAAGTGTTTGCTTCCAATTTTACTCTCCTCAAATCACCCATCCAACCCGCCACACACCCTACGGCAAACCATCGTTTCACACCGTTCAGTTCCACCAGAAAGATACGTTAAATCCTCTTGTCATTGGACCCGACGGGATTCCTTCCATTGTCCTCTAAATGTGCGCTTCAGAACTGGCTCCCTTCCTTCGTCGCTTATTATGTCTATCTCTCGATTCTGAGATATTCCAAATCCCATGGAAAATATCAGAAATATTTCCCATCCCCAAACGCGACGACCAATCTGACCCAAACAACTACCGCCCCATCTCTCTCACACCAGTGATTTCGAAGGTTATGGAATCAGTTGTTGCTGATCAACTA